CCCCCTATTATCCAAACGGCCCAATCAACGAGTGCAGATAAAGAATAATCTCTTAGAAAAGTCTATAAAGTCGCTAGGCCGCGCTTTCATTCAGAAAAATCATAATGGAGATGGAGTCTTTTCATGGGGTCAACTGAATGCTCCAACAAAACAACTCCAGCGTCCTGAAAAGCTTTTCGTGTTCATTTAATGAAAATGATTTGGGGGCTTGAAGGGAAAAAGCGCCATTCCCTCTCCACTCCTCACTCCCCCTGCCGGGCATCAGTATTCTGGTATGCAGTTGTGTTTAGTTTGAAAGTGTAAATCTCCTTTTGTTGCGATAATATATGGCCTTCGCCGCCTGTCCAGAGTCTTTTCTGCGTTAGTTCATTACTACACAATTACCGTTCACGGTTTATTAACTCCTCTATCCGCCCTCACTGGGTTCCTTAAAGGATATGCTACCTCTTTACCATACCAATGCGTTTGGGGACCGGCCAATGTGCTAATTAGTCACCTCGTGCCATTTCACTCAAAACGGGACGTATTGCGCAGTTGCAAAGAGGGAAAAGTTTGAAAACTCTGATGTTATATCCACGTGAAGCCTTAATGCTGCATTTTCAACATTTACACTCCAAACTATTTCACCGGCTTATATTTTATTATTATATGTTTTCTGGCGCAATAAACTATATTTATTTTTAGTTGTATAATTTTATTTTATTTTATTTTATTGTTTGTAATGAAATGCAAGCAACAGAAAAACAAAAACTGGGCTTACATTTATTCGTTTCTTGTCTTTTTTCTGCTCTACAGCGTCTTCTTCAGTGGTTCCAATCCCTGGGACGTTTTCGTGGCCCTTAGCGACCAGAGGGAAACCCCGCAGAGGGATGCTGAGGAGGGCGGTGTTCTCTGACGTCCAGCGCAAGGCTTTGGAGAAAATGTTCCAAAAACAGAAATATATCAGCAAACCCGACAGAAAGAAATTGGCATCCAAACTCGGCCTCAAAGACTCTCAGGTAAAAAAACAAAACACATCTGCATTCTTGTTACGTCAACTGGCGTACCATATTTACGCACAAACATTTACGTCACGTGTTTACAACCCAAGCTGTGATCGATTCCCACTCATTTTAATCAGTTGTCAAAGTTTGTAAAAACTTTCACTTCGCACTAGTGTTTGCAGCAAAAACCTTCACCAGTCATTTTTGAACAACTTTCTACAAACTTTTCCATTAATCAGTATCTCACTTTTTGCAGGTGAAAATCTGGTTCCAGAACCGACGGATGAAGTGGAGGAACTCCAAGGAGCGAGAGTTGCTTTCGTCAGGCGGCTGCCGTGAACAGACGCTGCCCACCAAAGCCAACCCGCACCCGGACCTGAGCGACGTAGGCAAGAAGTCCTCCGCCGAGGATGAAGAGGACGAGGAGGAAGATGAGTTCGCTAGAGAGAGAGTAAGGTCGGCGCGGACCAGCACCTCCTCTCCTTCTCTGTCCAGCAAACACTCGGATTTCTCAGAGTCGGATGAAGAAGAAATAACAGTGTCCTAATTTATTTTTAAGAGACAAAACATATACAAACAACACTCACGTTTCCTCTCTAATACTGCGACCAGACTTGTAAAAAAAACAAACAAACAAAAAAAAAAAACGCAAACCCAAACTTCGTTGTTCAAAAAGCTTTCACTCCAGCGTCAGGATTCTGTCTGAGACACATTTTGCTGTTTTGCACAGCTTCGCCCTATTGTACAGTATTTTGTACAATTTTGTATGGAAATTTTATGCCAAGAATATTGAGTTCCTTGAATAGAGTTCTTTATTGAAAAATGTAGCTATTTCGTTAATAATTTATATCTGTTAAATAAGTATGTTGTATTATCTGATGTATATATGTTTATTTTACATGTTTTGTACAAACACCAATAAAATTGTAAACAGTTCCAAGTGTGTTGTGTGGGCTTTAAAAAACAGTCAAACTGTTGGCATCATAAATAATAATAGATTTTATTGAATCACAATAACTTAAGACTAGTACAGTGATATCAGATTTGAATCTTGGAGCCCTGCACAGACCAGTGATACAAACCGCATCAGTCTGCTCTGGTGTAAAGAGACTGTACATAAAATACTCCTTTTCAAGTACTGTAACAAATCAGCTAGAAAAAAGTCATCAAAATGCTGTGGGATAACCAACTATTTACACTTATCTTACATATAAAAATGTACAAAGCAAAGAAGGCTGAACATTCATTGGGTTTATGAACTATAAACAGACAAACTGGTCAAATGCTCCAGCAAAATCCACACTTTTGTGCTGGGGAGCAGGCTTTTCACAGCACAGACAGAGTCAACCTCTTTGTGCTTACAGCAGGAAAGCGTCTGTGAGTCACACCGACATACACACGGATAAAGAACATTTGCTACAAATCCCAAAGAAAAAAAAAAGCCTTTACAAATTTGCCTCCATGCCGTATGTCTGAGCAGAGCCAATCTCTGCTCGAGGGGGACAAATGCACACTGAGCTCCGGGCTTCCATCTCAGGAAATCACAATGAATGTTGCATAGCATCGCTGACAAGAAGAAAAAAAAACACTGAAAGTGGTGGAAGCTGCTGTGAGCTCGATGACCCCTGGATTCAAACGTCTGCCTAACCTTTGGGAAGGCAGGCTTGGAGGTTTAAAACAAAGAAAAAGTAGAATATCTTTCTTTCATTTTAACCATAGAAATGTCTCCAACAATTATACAATTTCATTCAACCACAAGTATATACTTTTAATTTTTGATTAATTATATCACTATATGAACAAAGCAGCATATACACCAAATTTCACTTAGACTTTCTTTTTCATCACATAATCAAAACAGACATTGAGTGTGACAAAAGCATAGTTAAAGGATGGGGCTGAGGTATAAAACAATTTAAAAGAAAACGTCCCTCACCCAATCAACCTGCTTAAATTCTGATTTCAAGCACCAAAAACACATCTATTTTGTCAGCTGCTCATGGTCCAAATATTTACACCAGCTTCTCAGCAATGAGTCACACATACATGCCAACAAATAACCTTGGAACCCACAGTACTGCTTCTTATTCACATGTCTTCATTCCCATGGCGTTGGTGTTTACTATGAGAGGTCACGGCTGCTCCCAAACAGCCAGTTGACCTGGAGCCCTGTCTAATGTTCAGCCACTCAGACCGACAGATAAAGGCTCTGTTAATGCACATCATCTGAACGTAGAAAAATGTAAGGCATTATTTGTAAGAATTCAGTCCAGCACCAAAAGATACTTGTGCTACAACACACTGTTGTAACCAAACAGGCTAATCACAGGATCATACAGGGGTTAAAGCAAAGGAACAACAGTGATGATGAGACACCGCACAGAAAGGTACAACACAAACGTGACATCGTCTCAAATACTCTCAGAGATACAGGGACAAATCAAGATGCAGTGAATGTTAAAGTACCTCCTCCTAACTGAACTCCTGGTACTGTAGAAGTACTGAAGCACATCATGTAAGAGTTAATGTTGGGTGTAGTGAAAGAATTGGTGATCATGTTCATTTACAGAGAGAAAAGCTGCACCTGATGTAGTTTGTTTCTGTTTAGTATTCAGTATAGTCATTTGTAGAAGTTTTCACAGCAGATGGCCTGCCTGATACAACCATTGCCGCTAGTATTTGTAAGTTTCTATGAGACTGAATAGTAAACTCTGAAACCTTGATTTTGGACTGTAAACAACTAAGCAACAACAGGACTGTGGGACTCCATCTCTCTGGAGTTTTGTTGTTCAGGGAGTTGTTTGAAGCCTTTAAAATGCACATATACTTTTTTGCCCAAATAAAAAACTCCAAATGTGACTGTTGGAAAGTGTGCTTTTAATTTACATGTGCTCTCTTAATAATTTTGTAGCGATAATACTGTACTGATAGCGTTTGGAGGAGTTTCCTTTCAGATTAAATGTTCACTTTAGCTCAACTTGTCGTGTCACATTAAAACACGCAGTTTGTGCTTAAGAGAAGACGTAGAAGAGGGCGTAACACGTTCATCCCCCCATCCCTTCAGCAGGCAGCGTCCTTGTCAGTGCTCTTAGTGAACGTTTGCTCAGCAGCGCTAACACTCCACAGATTTAATGGCCTGTATCGCCATCTGCAGGCAAAGCTGACACTTGCAGTTGAGCAGGACCAGGTGTCGATGCTGCAGGTCAGTGAAAGGTGGAAGAATCCAGGCTGGTGTTGATGTATTTAAAATGGTTGGATGACGAGGGTAATGATGATGACAGGGCGACAAGGGGGGCTGTGTCCTTTTTTTTTCAGTCTGTCTGAAGATATCAGGCTCCCAACAGGAGCCATGGGCCACAGAGGTGAAAACAAAACAGTACAGTAGAAACTTTTGTTGCCTGTTTTTTTTCTGAAATGCAATTTTGTACTTCTTCTTCTATATTTGGGTTACCCGCACCCAAATTAAGGTGGCTGTATTTTTGTAGCATTAAAACTATGCTCCTGGCAACTTGTCCGCACAGTAAGAATATTTTAAAAAGTTACTCCTGAAAAAAGGACGACAAAATATCATCACAAGGTGGATTCCAGTGATGAATCCAGGATGTCGTCCTGGTGGCTGTTGCTGTTGGAATCACTGTCGTAGCTCTGTGGGCTGGAAGATGTCGCTGCTTCCTTTAGACGCATCAACATGTTCATCTGTGGAAGAAAGACAGTGTTCGTGTGATTGATCTTACTGCACTGGAACGTTTGAGGAATATTAAGTGAATATTTGACCATGAATATTTACTCTATTTTTATTGCTTTGTATGAATCAATTTTCAGGTGATTTTATACTCAAATAAGCAAAAAGAAAAAAAAAATCCTAGCAGAAATCAATGATATTATCGAAATCTACAGTGAAACAGAAATATTTTCCTTACCAGTGGGTCTGCATCACTGTCACTCTGTGGCAGCTCTTTTCTGACTCCTTCTCTTGGGGCAGAGTAGCCGTCAAAGCCGACATCCTCTGGGCGGAGCTGCAGCAGTGGTGGCCAGTCTGAGGGAGCATGTGTAGCCGACCAGGGGTAGGTGTCAATCACCCAGGCAGCTGGGTCCTCCCACACAGCTCTGCGACCATACAGCTGTGGAAACACACAATAAATAATAATAATAAAAAATACTACAAATGGGGCGAATTGGTTTTCTAACATTTAGATTGTTTTGCAAACTGCAAATGTGCTTTGTAACTTTGATTAGTTTTTATTTTATAACCAATTGTCATGTAGTTTGGTACTAACAAACGGGGAGAACATAAAGGGAAGCCATCAGTTAACACAGAGAATCAACCTAATGACCTTTATGCTGCATGCAAGAACATTAACCATGCTTGTGCAGTGTAAAGCAAATCAGTGATGTCACCATAGTAATTTAGTTTAATGCTAATCACACGGAGATTAAGATGAAACAAATAATCAACTTCAATTTTAAGGATGTGGTATTCCAAGAGGGCGAATGTGAGCACTGATCTTATTTCACAGTCAATTAGTCATCCAATAATTAAGAATCAGTTTTAAATTCTCTAAATGAAACGGTTGATTTGCACTGTACTTAATAAAACCCCTCCTGGGCCTTAGATAGAAAATCTTCAGTTGATCTTTTTACCTGCAGTCCCTCTCGTACAGCCTCTAACATGTAGGGAATGATGGAGTAGTTCCAGAGGTCAGTGAACCAAACCCTGGAGCCCTCCACATCCATAGGGCACGACAGAAAGAGGCGAGGTCCTGAGAACACAGAGAAGAAGTCAAACACTGGTCTGCATGGATGACCAAAGTCCAGTTAGGAAAGTGAACATCCTCTCACCGATGGTGACGTCAGAGGAACTGTGTGCCTCCAGGAAGCGGTTGAGGTGGTGCCAAACCCGTGGTATCCAGTCAATGATCTTCACCAGCTCCACATTCCTCGTCCGACTGCCAATCTCTGTCTCAATCAGCTTCCTCCTCAGGTAGCGCCCAAGGAAACCCTTCACTGGCTCCGTGTGGTTGGCACACAGTACCCACCTGACCAAATACCACGCACACACAGGTTTATTACATGACATCATGTCAAAATGATAATTCCAACAGCATTTTTTGAATTAATTTCTATTACTTGACATGTGATGGATGTTTAAATCTACCTGAAGTTGTGGTGGAGCTGCAGGTTGGGGGAAGATGATGTTGCCTGGCTCATGGTGCCAATGATGTAGGGACTAAAAAAAGAAAACAATCATTTATAATAATGTATTTACTCTAATTGGGTGGAACAAGTGAAAACAGCTAAACAAGAGAACTAACCTGTGTTGGTAACTACAGTTAAAAAGGCCGTTGAAAATCTCTCCGAGTGAGCTGACGTGATGCAAGTTATCCAGAATGACCACTAGAGGGCTCCCCACTCCGGACATACTGCTGCACTGCTCAGCCAAACCAGACAAATACTGACGCAACTCCTAAGAGAATGAAAGAGAAATTGTGTACTTAAAGCTGTGACCTATATACATGTATAAATGTATACACAGGTACGACTAATATTTGTATTTCTGTTTTTTAAGATTACAGTAAAATCTTTGATAAATTGTGACACAGTTGTACTGTAAACTTACAATGTAATCCTATATAGTTCATTTTCAAAAAGAAAAATCTCTGTGGCTTACAAATTCAAACATCATTCTTAATTCCAATCTCTGCTTCATTTCAGAGCAATTCTATCAACAATGAATTAAACATCAGTTAAACTCAGATGCATGAACTTACTTTGCTGGACTTATGGTCCACGTTAAAAGTGACAATAGAGTGCGGAGTTAGAGGTCGGCCCTCCAGCAGCAGCAGGTGTCTGGACAGCTGATTGGCCAGGTAGGTCTTCCCGGTGCCGCTGGGACCTGACAGGATGACTCTCCTGTGCTCCTTCAGCAGGGAGATATAGCGTTGCAGCATTGGCTTTGGAATCAGAGTGTCAAAGACCAGAGAGTCCACATTCCCGCTGGTTACACCTGAAAAAAAATCACACTTTAACTTCCTTCTTCTTGTCTTTTTTTCGGTCACTATAAAAGGAGCAGCAGCAGTATCACTGTTATGTTTTGCAGCACAGACTGAATGAGTATGAAAATGCCGTACCTTTAAGCTGGATGCTGATGGTGTTGCTGTCTCCCACCAGGTAGCCACAGGGCAGCAGCTCTGGTGTGTCTGCAGCGGTGAGGCTGCTCGGGCGGTGGATCTCTCCGATATTATACCCTTCCACACTGTCAGAGCTCAGGCCCAGCTGGGTCACTGGGTCCACGTGGGTGATGTACTCCTGAAAAATTAACAACAGATCAGTTTTAAACGGCACACCTAACAATATAGTGTTTTATAGTATTACTAATGGAAATATATAAATATATCATTTAAAACAAATTAACAAAAAGCTGCAAAGCTCAGAGTAGTAACCAAGGTTGGAATGGTGTATGGCAGGCAGAACCAGAAGTACAGTAAATAATATATAGTATAAGCATGTCTACGGATATTCTATGGATCATGGACCTGTTAGTTCCTCAAGTTACAAAATAGTTGGTGTGGATCTAATACTGTTTTTTTATTTTGCACTTCACTTACCTTAAACAGGCGTCGAACCACTCCATCCAGAACATCCCACTTGGTTTTACCACTAACGCCGATGCAACCAATCAAAAAATTGCGCAGCCGTCTCTCCTGCAACAGAAAAAAAACAACAACAACTGGTTTAAAAGCCGTACTAGCTGGAGCGATGGTTTGGGATGTACTTTTGAAAACTGCCTCACCTCTGTCCACTTGCTGTCCTCTTCCAGACTGACAACTATCTTCACATGTCTCCCCTCCTTCCTCATCCCTCCTTCTCCACCGGTGTCATCTAGCAGCATGTCTGGTGGTGCAAACATTAAAACAAAGTAAGTCCGCTGATTGATAGTCATGGTATGACTCGGTTTCATTTTATCCATTCACAAAGACATGTTTAAAGAACCGTGGTTCCTGCTGTGTCTTTGCTCTGTCGTACCCAGGCTGGTGGACTCGCTGGTGGAGAGGTTCAGACTGTGCTGAGAAAGGCCAGGTCCTGGGATCTGGCCAGTTGTGTGAGGAGGGGGAGAAGATGAGATGGAGACCTGGGAGCCTGTCCTGCTTCCCTGGTTCTCCAGCTTCAGACGGTCATTTTCTGCCTTAAGTTTCTCAATCTCCACCTATAGAAATAAACAGAGGAAGGATTGAGAAATAAATATATGTCCATGTCAGTGTCTGCAGGACTAAATCAACTAATCTAACGTATCTGCAGACCTGCATACGGTTCATGGCCTCCCTGAGCTGATCCAGCTGATGGGCAGAGCTGAGAGCCTCCAGACGGATGTCAGTCAGCTTCATCTCCTTCTCCCTGAGCTCGCTCCGCAGCTGCATCACCGTCTCTGCCTCGCTGTCCAGACACTCTGATAATCTGTGCACGAACCAAACACAGCAGGAAACGTTTACCTTTACGCTTTTGTGTGTTTTCAAATGTTTTGTGTTTAATATCTTTGTTTTTCCAGCATGTGACAACAAATCCACTCACAGCTGGTTGGAGTGTGTATTCCTGAGCATGTGGCCGGGGCCTGTGGTGCCGTTGTGGGGGAGCTTTGGGGAGGATGGCAGAGAGGAGTCGGTCATCTCTTCGATGTCAGAGTGAGAGGAAGCAGACTTTGGAGATTTCTTCTTGCTGAACGCTTGTTTGAAGGAGCTTCGCAACTGCAGGTATGAAACACAACAAGACAGAAGGAGAGGAGATGGTGAGTGGAAGAGAAACACAGCCTTCAGACAGGACTTAAAGGGGAAGGAGGTGGAGGGAAACAGAAGCGGTCAGTGAAAAGGAGAGTGGGTAAAAAGGGAGGCCGTCAGATCACTTCGGTCGTAATGTTTTGTCTGTGGCCTAGATTGTAGTTGAAGTGAACTAAGACTTCTTGGTAACAGTAACTAAATGGTATCAGCTCTGTCAATGGAGTATTTGATTCCTAAAAATATTTAACTGGCTTTGGCAACAAATTCCAGTGATGCACTGATACAATTCTGGAGAACAGTTTGTAAGTGGAATCTATCAAAAAATCGTGTTTTGTTTACATTCAAATAACTTTCTAAAGAAGCCTCTTCACCCTGGGAACTGAGAGGACCATGCAGAAAAGAATGCTGACTTTCACTTTCACAAACTGTGTCTGTGATAAGCTGGATAGAGACTTGACCGAAGTGACAGTTTTGGGGAAAAGGCAGTGATAAAGAATTAGGGAAAGGAGCACGAGCCAGAAAAAAAGGGAGAAAAAATACAAGTTTAGGTTAGTCATCCAGAAAAAAGTGCAGGGGCGTTAGGCAGGAGGTGTTTTTTGGTTCCTTTTGTTCCTTTCACACAGCGTTCCAGTCTTACCTCGGAAACCTGCCACATGAAGCGAAGCAGAGGAAAACAGGGAGACAAAACAGCACATGTTCATATGGGTTCATATGAGTGTTTAACTGGGTTGTGGGGGAGAGAGGGGGAAAGAGGGGGAGCTGAGGATTAGACCCTTGAAAGCTAGAAAGGCTCAGAGAGTATTTCATCTGACTCCCATAGTGCTGTAAACTAATTCTACATCACAACCACCATGAGAAGGGAAGGGTCTCTCACAATCCAATATAAGCCTAAGCCCCTATATACCATTTCACACACACTGTCTGAGCAGCACCTGCAGCAAGGAACCAAGTGGGAGCCCTCACATCCACAAGTCTGACAGCTGGAAGCACGCACACACACACACACACACACACACACACACAGTGTGTAATCTATTATGACTGGAGCCAAAGCAGGAAACTCTTTAACCACCATCAGGAAGAAACCCATGAATTTTTCTAAACATCCAACATCAGGATCAGATAGGACAAAACCACAGGGACCTGAAACCTCACTTCACACCAGGGTGACGAGGAGGAAATGTTAGGCTACATACATCAGTTTCACTGACTGGTCCTCTGGTGCACAGGAAAGTCTTTTAGAATCAAACAAACAAATGTAAAAGTTCACACCTTTGACAGAAATAAAAGACACTGAAGAGAAATATGATGCAAAACGTTTTATGAAAAGTAGCCAAGTACCCAGTTCTTCTTGTTCTTCTTCTTGTTTTTTGCATCAGCGTCCATGTTAGAGCCCACACTGGAATGGCTGGTTGCACTGGCAATGCTGCTGACACTATCGGAGGAGTGCTGTCTCCTGATGCGCAGGTCCGGCTGCTGTTGCTGATGCTGCTGATGCTGCTGCTGATGCTGTTGCTGGGGACTGCCATTGTTTTTAGCTAAAGGAAAACAGACGTAGTATAGAAAAATAAATGATGGAACACTGAATCAGTGATGTGTTTTTTTAGACACTTTGTCTCCAGGATGAACGTCACGCCTCACCTGTCTTGTCTCCTTTAGAAGCCAGTTCAGGCGTGTTGATGACTCCATTAATGGCAGCCTGAGCAACAGCATTCTGCTTCTTCAGCAACTCGATGGTCTTCCTCAACTCGTTCAGCTCAGAGTCCTGCACGGATGAAACGCAGGCAGATTAATAATGTGGGCTTTATAGGTTTGTTCGATATCAAGCAAGAGCTGTTTTTTTTTTACTTTCTGCTCTGCAGTCAGGGTGAGATTCTTCAGTCTGATGGTCATGTTGCCCAGACTTTGTTCAAATGCTGCCACCAGGTGAGCCTGAGGGAGAAAGACAAGTCGAAACATACATTCATCTTGGTTAGAGAATTAGAATCCATTATTTGTATTGTACTATAAGTAAATAAAAAAATAGATATTTTTTTCTTCAATAGCTTGACTATGAAATGCCATCTAGCCATGACCAAAAACCATGACTTCAATAAATATCCTCAATGTCCTTAATGTTAACAGCTGCTGAATGCTATGACATGACTTGTTGATATATATATATTGGGTGATGGCCATCACAAAGAGCCACAGATAGGAAGAGATAGGAAACCTGCTTGAGATGTGATCTGTAGCCCTGAGCTAAGAAACCAGTTATGGCAAAAACAGTCAAACTGTTCACCACAACCGCTGAACCAAACCATAAGGAACAATATGTGCCACAATAAACCGCGGTTCCCTGTGGGTCCACTTCGGTTCTCACACTACAGACCCACATCCAAGCCAAACCATTACATCATTTTCAATGAGGAACATTAGTGCAGCTGAAAATAATAACTCAGAGTCAAGTCCAGGACTCAGGACGGGGCCATCTCCAGATCATTCTTGTTAAATACAGTTAGGGAAATGTTGGTATTGTGAGGTGATTTGACAGATCTCTGGCTGTGAGTGTGTGAGAACAAGTGGAGTCCAACAGAGGACTCTTGTCCACATCTGCCAATGCAGACAAACGTGGACACACAAGACAACTCTTCCAGGTTCAGTAAAACGTTTTTACCAATTCACCAAAACTGTTTTATATTAAAAGGTTATAAGCAAAAGGCTGGAGTAAAGGCAAAGACTTTGATAACTTTTCTATTTTTATGTCAACGATAAATAAGCTTAGAAAAGAAACTCTCCAGAATATTCCCTGTATTAACTTTCCATTTTTTGTTTTGTTTTTTGTTTTTTGAGGGCCTTCATTTTTTGAAGGTTTAATCACTTTTGAAGGTTTGGGTTTTATACGACTGCTTTATATGAAAGAAAACCTTAAGATTTAAGGCTTCATTTTTCACTACGACCCCGAACAAGTGTGGGTGCAGTCAACCTTCACTGCTTCATACAGGCTGTGAAATGCAGATGCCTTTAGGAAGTCTGTGTGTGATTTAGATGAGGTGTTGACTGAAGTGCAGTCCTTTTTGTAGCAGGACATGTTCTTGGATTCTCAGCCTTGGGGGTCCGTTGGTGTGTTAAAACAATCCATCATCTGTCTGCGGCTTGTAATTAACTGTTTGAACAGTGCACCTCCCTCATCCTCTATCCGGCCCTGCGACCTCCTACCATCAGCTCCACTGTGCTAACTGTGTGTCTATCAACACTTACAGCAGGCTTTTTTTCCTGAATCCCGGCATCTTTAGATGTAAATCTCCAGTCCACATCTGGGAAGGCCCCTCGGCAGGTTTGCCGACACTCGACTCCCTGCTGTAATCTTATACCTGTTCCTTTTCATATCTCTAATCCACAGTTTAACTCAGCAGCTAGCACAGACTCAGGCAGCAGATTACAAGTGGAGCGTGGCCAGACTGCAGACAAGGATTCATGTCTGAAGACGCTCTCTAAAAGTTCAGCCACATGTGAAATTACAACTTCTGTGATGACAATCAATTTTAGTGGTGCATAAGGGTGACAATATAAATTGTTATTGTCAGGAAATCCAATCACATCCATTCTCCATCAGTTATTCAGCATAAGTCTTTCTTCTCCTCATTTGTTCCTCAGTCATGTCCTTATAGAAACTAACCCATTCTAATGTGTCTTTTCCACACAACATAAATCACTCAAATGATGAAAACCATCAATGATTACAGAGTGAAGGAGATAAAAGTGTGTGTGGGAATGTGTGTGTGTCTTCTCATTCTCATCAACTTACGTTGGCGCTCAACTGTGTCGTCAGGGCGGAAACCTTTTCCTGTGAGGCATCTAGCTCCCGGCGCAGCTTCCGTATCTTAAAACAAAACAAAACACGCAAAATCATGAAGCAGCAAGACACATAAAAGAAGACACAAGTGCTGTCTATAAAAGAGCACGCTCACACACACACGCACACACACTCTGGGTTCACGGTGGCAATAGTGCTGCAGTAACAAACGAGGGTGTCTCCCAGATTGGAGCTGTGATATGTTGGAGATGAGATGAAACGGAGCAGATGCATAAAGGAGAACATTCAGGTGAACGCAGGTGTTCAGAAAGGAACAAGAGTCTGTTACAGGGTCACTCACAATACAGTTACATGGGTAACAGGATACAACTGTGAAAACAAACCCATGTTTCAACAAGTCCAGCCACTGCACACACAGAAAATTAAAGAGGACAGACGTGAGGTGGGCGGGCTGAGACACTCACCTCCGACTGAGACTTCTCCTCGTTCTGTAAAAACAAACAGCAGAAGGAGAGGAAATCATTAGGGGACACTGGCCAAATGATGCCTGACGTCAGGCTACACACGACGACACACACTCTGCCTGATTTATTGGCTCCCACATGTGTAAACAGTGGAGAGAGACTGTGTGGTGTAATGTGTCTGGAAAGCAGAGATATTGCTCCTGGAGGCATTTCACTGAGATATCCCAGTGTGGAGTTCCATTGTGTGCACTGAACTGCACGCAGAACAATGACCGAAAAAAAAAAATAAGACAGGGAGGCAAACACATACGACACGCAAAACAAACGCTCGCACGAACGTACAAACCCATACACACCCTGAAAACAGTGACACATGTAACACCCACATCACATGCAAACAGACTGCAGGAACAGGACAACTGTATTCAAAACGGACACAGCCTTGAGCTGTTTAAACAACTTTAAACTTTAAACTGAAACCAGTTTGGATGATGTATTCTTATTATAAATAAGACTATAAATTAAGAGATTAGGTGTGGTACTGAATAGAATTTTAATCTTAATCTTAAACCTGAAATGCATTTCTGTCAATTCTGGTTCATTTATAACACATTTTCCCAGACTTTGCATTGACAGAGATTTTCAGCCTCTGAGGTGTTTTCCTTCCTAAAGCCTGTTGAACATCTGGTCCCGGTGAATGTCTCCTGACAGATGCAACCAGGCAGAAAAGGCTGATAATTAATGATCTTTTTCATTTGGCAGCACTTCACGGCCACTAGTCATTGTCTACAGCCTCCAACAACATTATGTGTCTGTGCATGTAGCAGTACAGCACTGTTACAGCACATGTGCTCTGTGGCACATGTTCCACACAGCCAACTGTCAATCACACCCCTGAGACAACTAATCCTGGATACACAAACAGAGCAGCAGCCTGTCCAACCCAGTCACACAGACAAAACAGTGTCAACATGTCAGCAGCGCAGGTCAACATCCCCCAAATGACTTCAGCCCCAGTCAGTGATTTTAAAAAAAATCATCTCATAATGGCTGATGCAGACACAGAGGCACTGAAAACAATTCTATGTCAGTTAGACATTTCAGCCCAGCTGGAATAATCCCTTCTTCTCATCCCTACCGTTTGCTGCCAGGAGGTGACAGTTCCCGTCAGGGATATGGTCGCCATCATTTTGCCTCTAATCTCCTCCTCACTTTGATTTCAAACCTCTTGGCTCTCTGACTCCAGGAACCAGCTGAGGGCTGTGCAGTATCTGAGTAGTATCTGAGCCAGTTTCTGCTACACCTGCCCAGGTAAGAAAGACCTGCCCACTACTGGGATAAGGAGGAGCAGGAGAGGGAGTAGGTGGTGGAGGAGGAGGAGTCACGCCGTGAGGCACAACGCTCTTACTGGCTGCAGTGTGAATGAGCTGAGTGACTGCAATCAGACCTTTTTCCTCACAGGGTGTAGGAGTAAGATATCTGGGTGGATTAGAAGATGAATGTGCATCATTGTATTCACTCTGACTCCGATGCCTAATGTTTCATAAATCCACAGGCAGGAGCTGAAACCTGCTTCTCTGGTACAGACATGAACTGGAGGGACACGCGTCAAAGAACAGCAGCTCTGATTTGTGGATACATTATTATTATTATTATTATTATTATTATTATTATTATTATTCATAATGTCCTTTTCTCAGTGAGTGTAACTATATTCCTAATTTTGTTTAATTAAATGTTCCTGTGCAAATGTTTATTCTTGATAGTTTATATCTACAATTTCTACTCAAGATGTTAATGTAAAGATATGTAAATTCAAAATAAACCTAAATGATAAACATGTCACTAGTCTAGTATTGGAAAAAAAATTAAACTTTTTAACTTTAAAACAGTTTGACTTTTACAGTGATATAGTTATAAATGTTCATATGAAAAATACCTGGACCACCTGTCGTCCAACCGTATTCTGATCCAAAAGTGTTATTGGTAGAAACAGACAACATAATGTGTAGAAACTCCTGTTTCAACTTTCAAAGCAGATGCTGACTCTGCAAACGTTGCCAACACCTGCAGCCAGGTGTTGGTCTGAGGCCACAGCTCCATCATGACCTCAGATGGGTGAGAATGACTTCTACTTGGCAGCAGCAACAGCAGCTGTCAGTGAGAACTGTTGACATTGTGTAAACTCACCGTTGAGTAGATGGAGGACGTGCTGGAGACCAGAGACAAAGAGGATCCATGAACTGAAACCAGGAGGAAAAGTGTGGATTAGAAAAGAACATCTGAACACACAACGGAACAGCACCCCCCCACCCCCCCATATTCAGA